CAACTTTCGGAAAGTAGATATTTCCCATTCTCTATGATACAAATTTCCCGTTTTCTATGATAATCTACTTTGGAAAATATGTTAATATTTCCCAAAAAGTCGATAATCTACTCCTACAAAAAGTCGATAATCTACTTTACCGAAAAGTAGATAATCTACTTTTCAGGAAAGTAGATAACCAACTTTCCCGGAAAGTAGATATTTCCCATTCTCTATGATACAAATTTCCCGTTTTCTATGATAATATACTTTGGAAAATATGTTAATATTTCCCAAAAAGTCGATAATCTACTCCCACAAAAAGTCGATAATCTACTTTACCGAAAAGTAGATAATCTACTTTTCAGGAAAGTAGATAACCAACTTTCCCGGAAAGTAGATATTTCCCATTCTCTATGATACAAATTTCCCGTTTTCTATGATAATCTACTTTGGAAAATATGTTAATATTTCCCAAAAAGTCGATAATCTACTCCCACAAAAAGTCGATAATCTACTTTACCGAAAAGTAGATAATCTACTTTTCAGGAAAGTAGATAACCAACTTTCCCGGAAAGTAGATATTTCCCATTCTCTATGATACAAATTTCCCGTTTTCTATGATAATCTACTTTGGAAAATATGTTAATATTTCCCAAAAATTCAATAATCTACTCCTACAAAAAGTCGATAATCTACTTTACCGAAAAGTAGATAATCTACTTTTCGGAAAGTAGATAACCAACTTTCCCGGAAAGTAGATATTTCCCATTCTCTATGATACAAATTTCCCGTTTTCTATGATAATCTACTTTGGAAAATATGTTAATATTTCCCAAAAAGTCGATAATCTACTCCCACAAAAAGTCGATAATCTACTTTACCGAAAAGTAGATAATCTACTTTTCGGGAAAGTAGATAACCAACTTTCCCGGAAAGTAGATATTTCCCATTTTCTGTGATACAAATTTCCCGTTTTCTATGATAAGTAGATAACCAACTTTCCCAGAAAGTAGAAATATTTCCCATTTTCTCTGATACAAATTTCCCGTTTTCTATGATAATCTACTTTGGAAAATATGTTAATATTTCCCAAAAAGTCGATAATCTACTCCCACAAAAAGTCGATAATCTACTTTACCGAAAAGTAGATAATCTACTTTTCAGGAAAGTAGATAACCAACTTTCCCGGAAAGTAGATATTTCCCATTCTCTATGATACAAATTTCCCGTTTTCTATGATAATCTACTTTGGAAAATGTTAATATTTCCCAAAAAGTCGATAATCTACTTCCACAAAAAGTCGTGTGGGGTTCAAGTTGTTTGGTTCACACTCAGGATGGGTTGGAGAAAGGAAACTCACAATGTGCTCTCTATATACATGTTGTATTGGATGTACAATGCAGCTTGGTGCTGGTTAGTGGCAGCATGGTTACAAGCGTGATGGAGAGAGAGCTGGTTGGTGAGGATGCTCAGAGAAGGACAGCTTGTGGGTCGCCATGCTCGCCGGCGGGAGCGAAGGCCGCCAGGCAGCGGCGGAGGAGGAGGTGTTGCTGGCTGCGGCTGTAGGTAGAAAGAGAGAGATCACCACGAGGTCAGGTCTTAAATAGCGGGGGTAGGAGTGGCTTAGTAGTTGACCCCTGCTCCGTGGTGTATGGCGGCGCTGGTTGACCTAGACCACGAGGCATACACTGGGGAATTGGTGGGGTCGGCTACTCAGCGACAAACAGCGTTTGTAGGGGAGAAATCCACTACAGTCGATAAGCTTTCCTGAAAAGTAGAGAATCTACTTTTCGGGAAAGTAGATTATCGACTTTTCGGGCAAGTGGATTATCTACTTTGGTGGAAAATACGGTAATATATCCACAAAAGTGGATAATCTACTTCCACGAAAAGTGGATAATCTACTTTCCCGAAAAGTAGATAATCTACTTTTCAGCAAAGTAGATAATCTACTTTTCAGGAAAGTAGATAATCTACTTTTCAGGAAAGTAGATAACCAACTTTCCCAGAATGTAGATATTTCCCATTCTCTGATACAAACTTCCCGTTTTCTGTGATAAGTAGATAACCAACTTTCCCAGAAAGTAGAAATATTTCACATTTTCTCTGATACAAATTTCCCGTTTTCTATGATAATCTACTTTGGAAAATGTTAATATTTCCCAAAAAGTCGATAATCTACTTTACCAAAAAGTAGATAATCTACTTTTCAGGAAAGAACCAATTTTCCCAGAAAGTAGAAATACTTCATTTTCTCTCATACAAACTTCCCGTTTTCTATGATAGTCTACTTCGGACCAATTTGGCCCCAGCAAACCTATTTTGCCCCAAACGGACCTATTTGGGCCAAACTGGACCTATTTAGACCAGACCAGACCTATTTGGCCCCAATTGGCCCAAACTTGACCTATTTGGCTTTAACCAGACCTATTTGGCCCAAACTGGACCTATTTGGCTTCAACTGGGCCTATTTTGCCCAAACTGGACCTATTTGGCCCAAACCGGACCTATATGGCCTCAACAGGACCTATTTGGCCCAAACTGGACCTATTTGGCGATACTCAGATTTTCAGCAAAATCAAGTTTTTGGCCAAAAACATAAGTCTTACACCTTAGTAATTTTTTGACCAAAATAGACTTTTCTCTCGGAATAGGAATTTAACCAATTAATTACTTCCAGAACACAAAAACACCAAAATCTCACCTGGGAAACCCATAGTTGGCTAGTAATTAGCATTGAAAAAGTCCTAAAAATACTCCAAGCCTCATTAAGGCCACTAATTAACCCCCAATCGAAATGAGGATAGATTTGCAATCAGCATGCTCAGGAGTACGTATACTGAGAATTTCAGCAAAATTACTCGCCACTTCTGGGTTTTCAAGGTCATTTCTTAGTGCTTGTGTATCATTCTGGATGTACTTAAGTAGTTAGGCACATTTCGTCCAAAAAATAGATTTTGTTCAAAATCTCAGTATAGGTACTCCTGCACATGCCTCTTAAGGATGTCAACCAAAATTTAATTTTTAGAAAATTTTATAAAAAAAAAATATATGAGGACCCTGTATTTGTATTAACATACTGTAGATAAAGTTAATGGTATGAGGCTCTAGGTACATCTCTTCTCGTCGGGGAACTGGCTGTAGTACCTGTCCTGTCAGTGTGTGTGTAGGCATTTTGTTTTAGGTACAATTCCCCTAAAAACTGTATTGCCCCAGACAATATATTTGTTTTAAAACTATTACCCCGTGAAGGTTTTTTCTCTACTGCTCATTAACCTTATGGCGTCCCAATTTTTATACGTTATTAATTATAGCAATGCAGCAGATAACATCTTCAATCTTCACGTTATTTACATTTTAATTTCTATAAACAAAAACTTATGAGAAAACAATAACATCAGCACTATCCCCAGTAAGGACATTGAGTAATTGCAAAGAAACATCTAGACATGATTGGTTCGGTTATATGAATATTATTCCTTTCAGAATACTGCAAGTTGATATTAAATTATTTTTCTTGCTTTGCAAAGTTTTTTCTTTTACCTTTTCTTACTCTAAGTTTGATATATCTACAACATAAGGAAGAAAACATGGTACACTTTGAACACTTTATTGGCATAAAATGGGGGGAACCAAGGGCTCAGTCACATACGAGTTGTGACCTTCAAAAGATACACACAGCGTAAAATTTGTCTCGTGTCTGATAAGTAAGATGAAAATCAACCAATCCAGTCTTAAGATATCTATTACACGTGGATTATCTGGTAGCTGCGACTCTTGACTTTCAAATTCCAATCCAATGTTGAGTGAAATTTGTCAGTCATATCACTATCCAGTCTTGAGATATCCTAAACACAAGAAGTGGAAATGACAAATGGATGAACAAATGACTTAATACACTAATGCAAGAGATTACTACAGGTGTACTGTATATATATATCCACCTTACTCCATAACGGACGATACAATTACAAATTAGCATCACAAAAATTAAACTCATTGGGTTTCATAAAATTTTCTGGATGGATTTTCTACTTCATTCCAGTTGATCCAAAACCATCAGCACCTCGTTCTGTGTCCACGAGTTCCTGAAAAAGTGGACAATCATTAGTACCTTGGACCTATATGCTTGACGACCCCACTGCACCAACCCAAAGTCTAGGCCTTAGCTCTATAAAAACTATAATGACTATGTCCGAGACGGCTGTCATGTATTCACCTTCCTGTATTTTTTTTAACTGCAAATTTCTGTTATTTTTTTGTATAGTTCTTCTTATTTTACTATGGTGTACCAGAACACTGTACATTTCTTGGTTGCTTAGTAAGTAAACTTTTTCAACTCCCAGTCCCTAATATAACCTCTTATTTTGTACTGAATTACATGTATTTCTATATCTTAATATTGTTTTTTTCACAAATACTCTCAATACCCTATCATGAAATAACCAAAGGGTATTGTACTAAGTTTGAATGAAATCCATTTTTTGTTTGAGTTTCCACGTTCACAAGGTACTGTACCTAAAACAAAATGCCTACACACACTGACAGGAGGACAGGTACTATAGCCAGTCCCCCCATGAGAAGAGATATACCTAGAGCCTCATACCATTAACTTTATCTACAGTATGTTAATACAAATACAGGGTCCTCATTATACATCAGGGATGCATTCCAGAGAAAACTGACTTGTAATGAAACATTTCATAATGAGAAATTTTCCCCCATAAGAATTAATGCAATTAGAGTACAGTATATGTGTTCCAACATCTACTATACAGTAATACTCCTTGAAATCTGTAAATCTGGTTACAATGGGGTCATTATAATATACTGTACTGTATACGACAAGAGATGCATGAGAGAAATAGAGCATTGGCACACTGCTTGGAGGGAGGCCAATGACAATGTTCTGCTGATCACCTTTGTAAACAAGCAACGGGAGTTTAACACAACACAAAGAATTGATATCTCGGTAACTCTTATGGTTTCATATGTAATAATGGCATGTGTGCAACTTCCTCAGAGTTAAAGAGTGCATGTGTATTATGGTGATCCACCACTATCAATTTATTGGCCATTTAATGTGACCAGTACAGTATGTTCATTGTTACTGTTAAGACCTTTAAGGCTGGTTATGGTCACGTCTGATCTGTGGATTGAGACCAAGACCACAGTGGTGAGAGGTAAGTGTGCTACCACTGTCCCACCAAAATTTACATTTATTTTTATTTATTTTACTTTTATTTATTTTTTAATTAAAATATTGGGCTGAAGACACAGAAAAAGAAGATAAACTGACACAAACCTCAACTTCCTCGATATCTGGATACAAGATTTTTTCACATACGAGCTGAGCTACTCGGTCACCCTTCTTTACTTCAAAATCAGTCTTGGCATGGTTGAAGAGAACAACGCCAACATTTCCCCGGTAGTCTCGGTCAATAACACCGGCTGAAAGGGTAGCCTCAAATAAACACAACATTCCTTCACGTGTATCTAACTTCAAGAGTTTTTAACGTAAACGATGACAATGAGAACACAAGAAGTGAGATAAGAAACATACCCAACCTCTTGAGACATGTAAGACACTGGCCATGACAGAGTTCAACCAAGCCAATAATTTCCAGAAACTGGTTAAGATCACCAAGTTTTTAATTTCATATCAACTCTATAGATCTCTAACATGAAGCTACATTATCATTTGAGAGAGAAGAAAAAAAAAAAGGAAAGAAAAGGCAGCATAATGAAATTATTAAAATTTTACAAGATGAAAAAATTGCCATTCGTTTACTAAATGGAAATTAAAAGTACATACATACAGTGCTGTACAGGTATACTTGACTTTCCTATAGTAAACACAAGCAAGGTAAATTTTGTAATATTTAGTTTCAAAATTAACTTAATATATGAATTAAACCCAAAATAGACATTAACCTCCAACATCAATGTGATTCTTCCAGGAAAGACCAGATCGTGGTGCCACCCTGCCATAACAATCTTCTGGTAACTCTACCTGTATGTCCGTCTTGATAAGAGCTTTGCCCTGGCCTGGAATTATTATATCATACGCACTGAAAAAGGGAAATAAATTGTCACTCTTTAAATATTCATTCCCGTCCTTGTAGTTAAAGTTAAAATAACTAAATTAACATTCAAATCATTCCACCAAAATCAGAGCAGGCTGTCTTATGAAAAATAACAGTGTGGTACACACAGATGATGCAAAAAGCCAAGAATTAAATCATTACACAAGCAAAAGGAAAAAACAGCCTACATTACAGTCAGGGCTGTGGAGTCGGAGTCGGAGTCGAGGAGTCGGAGGAAATTTCGGCTTGTGGAGTCGGAGTCGGAGTCGGTAAAATTGTCCAGACTCCGACTCCAACTGAAGCTATTCTGTTCCTAAGAACAAATATATGAACTCAGGCATATTCATTGCAGTGATTCCACTGATCCCACTAATTTTCTTAAATTATTAAAAGAATTTATTTCCATTTTATAAGCATTATTATGAATTTATTGTAGCAGGCACAGTATAGCACTATAATTTTGGACGATAGTCTCTTCTTTACCATTTGAAATTTTGAATTATATCAAATTTTGTTTCGTTGAAAACTGCACAGAGGCTCTCAGCTACAAAACAATTAGCTACAACCTGTTTTTGGTGAGATTAAGGCAAATTTAATTTAATAACTTAATCATGTAAGGTTTATCCATTTTCCTTAATAAGGTATTCATTTCTTTAATGTACATAAATATATAACTTTACTTTAAAAGGAATTGTAGGATCATCATTTAGATCCACATCAGATTATGAGCTTAAACAAAATTCATATGCTGAGATCGAACTTTTAGATATACATGTAAATGGTGTTTTCTAGTTAATATCTTGAATTCTTAATAAATTTATTTTTCTTTTGATTGAAACTTTGAAAGTCAAGCCTATCATCTTTTTGTAGTTCTTAAATATCGTCCAGATCATTAATAAAGCTGTAGCAGTATAGCCACGGTGTTTTACTTTTTACCTATGCAGGTTACAACATACAAATTACAATTAGGATGGTAGAAATAGTTGTTACAAATAGGCCAAGGAGTCGGAGTCGGAAGCATAAAAATTTGAGGAGTCGGAGTCGAAGGTTTTGTCTTCGACTCCACAGCCCTGGTACCTATACTGAAATTTTGAACAAAATCCATTTTTTGGCCGAAAATGACAAAAATTGTAAGTCTAAAGCCTTAAAGGATTTTTGGCCAAAAATACGTTTTCTCTCTGAACTAAAATTTAATGTGCCTAACTATTTAAGTACATCCAGAATAATACACAAGCACCAAGAAATGACCTCGAAAACCCATAAGTGGCGAGTAATTAGCATTGCAAAAGTAATTAAAATATTCTAAAAATCATTTGAACATTTTCTAAAAGCCATTTGAACAAGTTATAATCAAGATATCAAATTTTGGTTAACAGATCCTTAAGCAGCACATTCAGGAGTACCTATACTGAAATTTTGAACAAAATCCATTTTTTGGCCGAAATGGCAAAAATTGTAAGTTTAAAGCCTTAAAGGATTTTTGGCCAAAAATACTTTTTCTCTCTGAACTAAAATTTAATGTGCCTAACTATTTAAGTACATCCAGAATAATACACAAGCACCAAGAAATGACCTCGAAAACCCATAAGTGGCGAGTAATTAGCATTGCAAAAGTAATTAAAATATTCTAAAAATCATTTGAACATTTTCTAAAAGCCATTTGAACAAGTTATAATCAAGATATCAAATTTTGGTTAACAGATCCTTAAGCAGCACATTCAGGAGTACCTATACTGAAATTTTGAACAAAATCCATTTTTTGGCCGAAAATGACAAAAATTGTAAGTCTAAAGCCTTAAAGGATTTTTGGCCAAAAATACTTTTTCTCTCTGAACTAAAATTTAATGTGCCTAACTATTTAAGTACATCCAGAATAATACACAAGCACCAAGAAATGACCTCGAAAACCCATAAGTGGCGAGTAATTAGCATTGCAAAAGTAATTAAAATATTCTAAAAATCATTTGAACATTTTCTAAAAGCCATTTGAACAAGTTATAATCAAGATATCAAATTTTGGTTAACAGATCCTTAAGCAGCACATTCAGGAGTACCTATACTGAAATTTTGAACAAAATCCATTTTTTGGCCGAAAATGACAAAAATTGTAAGTCTTATGCCTTAAAGGATTTTTGGCCAAAAAATACTTTTTCTCTGTGAACTAAAATTTAATGTGCCTAACTATTTAAGTACATCCAGAATAATACACAAGCACCAAGAAATGACCTCGAAAAACCATAAGTGGCGAGTAATTAGCATTGCAAAAGTAATTAAAATATTCTAAAAATCATTTGAACATTTTCTAAAAGCCATTTGAACAAGTTATAATCAAGATATCAAATTTTGGTTAACAGATCCTTAAGCAGCACATTCAGGAGTACCTATACTGAAATTTTGAACAAAATCCATTTTTTGGCCGAAATGACAAAAATTGTAAGTCTAAAGCCTTAAAGGATTTTTGGCCAAAAATACTTTTTCTCTCTGAACTAAAATTTAATGTGCCTAACTATTTAAGTACATCCAGAATAATACACAAGCACCAAGAAATGACCTCGAAAACCCATAAATTACAATTAGGATGGTAGAAATAGTTGTTACAAATAGGCCAAGGAATCGGAGTCGGAGTCGGAAGCATAAAAATTTGAGGAGTCGGAGTCGAAGGTTTTGTCTTCGACTCCACAGCCCTGATTACAGTACATATCAATAATCATGACAGCAAAGGTCTATGGCAATAATTTTCTTCAATTGGTTACAAATGTATATCATATTAAATTTAACTGAAATTTTACAATAACCTTTTCTGAGGGTATGAAACTAGATAATTTTAAACATGGGTAAATAACTATCAAATAATAATTTCATAAAGCAAACTTGATAGCTTAGAGATAAAACTCTGACAACCAACAGAAACAACATTGTGTTGTACAGTATACTGGTCACAGACTAAAGAGTAACTGTACTTTTGTAACCATAGAAATCTAATGGTTTACCAGCCAATAAACACTAAGCATAAATCATTTAGCAAAAATAGTAAAGATTGTCTTATAAGGCTCCCAGGAAGTACACCACTGCCTCTGTGAACTCCAGCAAATTACAACTTAACATTGTTAAAATATGGCATGTCTGATATATTAACCGGAAAGGACTAAAGTTGACAATACTCAACTATCTGTTTCTACTAAATACTGTACTGTACAGACTAAGATCAGTGATGGTTTGTTGTAGTTCACAGGAGTAAATGATGTTCAGGGGCAGTAGTACACCTGTCATAAGAGTACTACAAGTAAAGGTTAGTCTCACTCACTCAACCAAACAAATGTAACATTGGTAAAATTATACAAGATATTTACCAACTTTATAAAATTTAATGATTAAATCAGATGAAACTAGTTTCGCTTAAGCTGGTCATATCTCAGAAACAGTTACAAGTGTGAGTACAGCTGCGAACTTGTAGCAATGGTTTTAAACTAGACAAATTTAAATTTAGGTGCGACATAAGTAAATACTGGTTTGGAAATAGAGTAGTGAATGAGTGGAACAAGTTACCGAACTTCGTCATTAACTCGAACACGCTGGGTAGCTTCATATATAGATTGGACGGATATATGAGCGATAAGGGTTGGGTATAAACGGGGCTGCCTAAAATGGGCCAATAGGCCCGCTGCAGTTTCCTCGATTCTTATGTTGAGTGACTTTACTGGGCCTCAGATTAGCAGGAGTGAACCACAGCATTGATAACGACCCAGTTCGAGCAATATTTACAGGTATTCAGTTCATACCTGCTAAAATCGTAGTTTAGTGAGTGTTTCTTTTCATACACCAAAGCACTGATAGCATAGAGATGAACTACAGGTACTTGCAGTTCCCTATATGCTGTACTGTATATTCAAAGTCATCTTTTCTGCACTCTACCATTGAATATGTAATTATGTTTGGTAATATTTAAGGCCAGTAGCCCAGGTTGTCCAGTCACCCAACAAATAATATTTATACAGCAAAAGAAAACTTCTTTGAAAAGTAAAGTAAATCAGGTGGAGAAATAGCACACACATGAAGACTTTTCCCAGAATGTTCTAATAACAATTCAGATTACTAAATAGTAACCAAGAACCAAATCACATATACAATACTGTACAGTATTTGGTTTAAGAGATTAATTATAGCTCAGAAGGGGCTTTCGGCATAATAATAAGTAACCCAAATGTTTTATAAAATGGCTGAATACCTGTTGCATTATAGTGACCAGGGCACCACTGAGAAGTAAGGCAAAGACAATCCACATCACCTGAGGGTTAACTTTCATTCTATACACTTCTGTCACAAGTGAATAATAATGAACCTAATAGAACCTGACCTAACCAACCAAATAAACATACCTAACCTTACCTAACTTCCTGTCCAGGGGGGGGCTAACCCTCAGCCTTATTAAAGAGAAAGTACATATTTTGATATCTGGTACCAATGAAAGCAACTTTGTTGAAGCTTCATGGTGTAATTTTACGTTTTTCTGTGAACGAGAGAGTACGCTCGGATAGAGTTGGTCGGTTGTAAACAAATTGAGAAGGTGACAGGCGCTCCCATATATGATGACAAGAAATAAAAGCCATACAATATCATCGTTATTTGACAGCTACGAGGTAAGTGTCATAAAAGAAGTCAAAGAATTATTAAAGCTATAGACTGCAAATACCCAAATCCCTAAATGAGATGGTTGTACAGAATTATAATAATACCGCTTATTTCACCTAAAATTAACCACCATAAGACTAACTAAACCTCCTCTACAGTAGGTAGCATTAGGATGCTTAATTATGTGACATAGGCTGTAGGGGCTAATCTTCAGGTGATACAATTACCCTGAATAGCTCACTAGGTGACTGGTAAGTCATTAAGTCACAATTTTTGCTAGGCTAGCTTAGGAAAGGTCTAGTGACTATTTTTTGGCCAAGACTCATCCACTTACCAATGAAGAAGGTGAGATTTTGACCCCTGTTGTGGAGGCGGTAGATCACTACTATGGGGCCCAGACCAGGAAGGAAATTATCAAAGCCAAAAACTAAAGCATTATATAAATATTAGTCAAAGCACTCATGTTAAAATAATGTACTACAATAGTGAATACAATAAACTTGTGAAATACAACTGAAGAAAATGGACATAAGATCAATGGTGGTTCACCCATACCTGCACAAGTCAAACCCGGCGGCCAGTTTTGAACCTTTACTGGGAGTTGTAGCGTTCCCTGACAGCTTCTTGAACCGTAGGACACATCTGACGGTGGAAGGCATGATGCTGATACTGTGGTGACAGAAGATGGAGGTGTTACAGCAGCAGTGAGGAGGACGGTAATACAACACACGCGGTTTCAACCCCAACAACAGCCTCTATTGTCTGTGTTTAAATGTGGCGGTAACGACGGGCGGGAACATGTGCGAACAGTACCTCACACTTTATTTAAAATCTGTGGTAACTAATGTTTTTGGAATAATTTACAATCAATATAAACGAAATTAATTTGTATATTAATTATTTGGACTAATTTACAACATATGAACAAGAGGCAAAAAAAAATTCGAATGAACTATTATTTACGTTAATGAACACAAAAACAATAATTATTGAGGAAGCTTAACCAACATGTAGTTATAGTTTAAAGAATTAGTTCCCCTAAAAACAGTATTGCCCCAGACGATTTATTTGTTTTAAAACTATTACCCCGTGAAGGTTTTTTTCTCTACTGCTCATTAACCTTATGGCGTCTCAATTTTTACACGTTATTAATTATAGCAATGCAGCAGATAACATCTTCAATCTTCACGTTATTTACATTTTAATTTCTATAAAAAAAAACTTATGAGAAAACAATAACATCAGCACTATCCCCAGTAAGGACATTGAGTAATTGCGTAATTGAAAAGAAACATCTAAACATGATTGGTTCAGTTATATGAATATTACTCCTTTCAGAATACTGCAAGTTGATAATAAATTATTTTAGTTAATACATCCAGTAACTCACCTTCTTTTAAGTGACATCATTCAGGAATACAGATGTGGGTCGATGTCCAAATGAATCGATTTATTTCCACTATTCATCGCATGACATTATTAATTTCTTGTGAGTTATTAGGAAAACATCTCCTTCATTTTCTCTTATATACCTCGGCACCGAAAACAACAGCAATTGATTAAAATATCTAATAAATGGTAACAACCCATCACTGTTATAGCCACTACTCCTGCAGATAATAGTCACTCCCCGTCAGGTGGTCTGTGATGCCACCTCCTCATAACGCCTGACACTCACAAACCGCAAGATTGGGATTTTACCGAGTTTTTTAATTGTAATTGGCTAAACCACATTAAAATTGGCAAAATCTTACTTTAATATATGACTCCTTCCTATTATTGTACCCCAAAGATAACACATTTTTTTATATTATGTCCATTGAATAATAAAATAAAGAAGTCATCCCATGTTAAAGTTAGGTTTCTTTTATGAGTGAGCTTAAAGGCAAGACTTAAATAACTTTGAATGAGATTAAATACAGGAATTAAATTACTTTGAATGAGTTTAATGGGGTGTTACCGTAGTATTAAAGAGACCAACCGAGTATCATATTAATTAAAAGGCTTAAAATAATAATAATATAGTCATTTGTGAGGGAAACGTCATAGATGAAAAATGTCTTAGAATTGTTTGAACTATTGATGGAAAAGATAAAATTCTCGAGATTCGGTTAGCGTAAATTAATAATAATAATAACTACATATAGAGTAATTATCACGTAGTTAATTCAGGATTGAGCTATATTAAAGAAACTAACCTTAGCTACAGAAATTTTAACAAAAAGTTCACAATAAAATTTTTACTAAATTTTGGAAAAATTAATTTCACGTTACAGATTATTAGCAACAAATTTATAAGCATAAATGGATTTCAGGATTATTAGGAACCCTAGTATATTGATATGGTAGGTTAGGTAGATATAGTTACATTAGAATAGGTTTGGTTAGGTTAGATCAGATTAGATTAGGTTTAGTTTGGCTGGGTAACATTAGGGTAAGTTAGGTATTATCACAATAAGTACAGCTAGATTTGGTTAGGTTAGGCTAGATTAATTTAGATTTGGATAAGTTAAGAGTTGTTAGGTTACCTTTACTTTACTTTTATCCTCTTCACCACTGATCGACTCGTTAGCCGCTTGGGCGATCGGTCACGTCTCTGATTACTTTTCCTTTTCTTTTATCCTCTTCACCAAGAGATCGGCTCGCTAGCGGCCCGGGCGATCGGTCACGTCTCTGTTACGCACTGTTGACAAGAACTGGGCATGCACCGGCTCCTGAATGTACCTCAACCCGCTCCAGTGTTGGTCAAGTCTTGTCTTGAAAGAGCTCACACTCAGTGCCGTCACAACATTTTCTGGTAGATTGTTCCAAGAGTTCACAACTCTCACTCCGAAAAAGTTTGCCCTCACAGTTTTCTGGACTTGCGGCTTCTTCACTCTTGAGCTGTGACCCCTTGTGGGGCGAGAGTATTAGGTTTCACTCCCACATCACAAGTGATGTGTTTCTATTCCATTACACTATATCTCTAATAGGCAAAGAAAAACACTGTTATAATTCACATGCACATTTTACTAGCTAGAAAACGTACATATTTATATATAAGCCTTAATTATATTTGTAAAATAACAGTACAGTATTAAATGGAGGTAGAATGTTGGCCTAGTTGTAATGACTAATTTTACACACATGCATGGGCGTCCACAGGGGGTGCAAGGGGGTGCACTTATACCCCCTGGGAAGCCTGAAGTGTTCTTTTTTCTGCAGTCCTTGTGCACAATGGGCGTATAATATTACAAATTCTTAAGTGAACTGTTTGTGCCTTAACATTCCTCCTACGGTCACTTGTGATAAGCCGATACTTTTGACAATTCTTCAGTGTGGGAGAATAATGATGTCATTGGTAAGAGTGACAACTGGTGTCTGGGCCTGACTGGCTGACTCAGGTAAGACCATCATGATGTCCACGTCACAGAGGAACAGTACGTGTATACCTGGTGTTAGGTCATGATGAAGCCGTGACCACTTGTCATTTAAACTGTCTAAGCATTATTTTACAGTTAGTTAAATCACCAATTGAAAAAAAAATTATTTACATATTGTAACAATTGATTGTGGGTTCTTTTTTTTCTTTTTCTTAAACTAGTATATTTGGGCAACTGCACAATTTGTCTGGTACAATACAACACATAATTGTAAAAACTATATAATATTCGTCAATAAATTTTTTATTTTTTTATTTCCATGTACGGCCATGGAAGTTATTGACAGTTATAAGCGTGCTTCAAAGACTGCCACAGTGAGTTCATGTATACCAGCATGTTACTTGTAAAACCAAGTTGTGGTGGAAATGTGAGAAAACATCCAATGGTAACTGAATGTAGGAAAAAATAGTGCAGTTAAATGATATCTACATCACAAAATTTGCTGAGGAGTCACAGTTCTGGTTGGAAATGTGGACACAGTGTCAATATTCCCAGAAGAAAACCACATCTTATTATGGTGTAACAAATCCAGATTACTTTTAAAACCACACTTTATAGTTTCAAATTACCCCCACACGTATTCATAGGAAATCATGTTTTGCGTGCTAGAAAAACACACGTGCACCCTCTGGCATATGCATGCATACGGATATATAGGCCTACATACACATGTGATGTCCTCTCTAAGACTACACAGTCATGATACACTGAACATATTAATGGATTTAATCGAATTTTATATAAAACTTGGTCATTAACATTATAAAATTGATGTTTTAAATACAATTGATTACATTTTCAAAACTTAAAACTGTACAGTACTTTCATAACCACACAAAACAAACAAGCATTCAATAAAATTTGGTCTATCTTTATATATATGCAGTATGGCCAACTCAGCTGTGATCAATAAGGGGTTATTTCAACCTAGGTTCACATGACCACAGGGGTAACTTGAACTGGGGGGTAATCTGAAATTTTAAACTGGTCCAACCTTGTCCTTGACAGATCTTCTGAAGCAGTGTGATTTGTGTCCAGCTATTCTAGAAGCCTTACTGATCTTGACACTTCCTGCCTCCACTTGTGAAGTAGAGCAGTCATTTAGCACACTGAAACATGTCAACACAAGGCTTCCATCAATAATGTCAACTGAACACTTGTCTGGACTGTGCATGCTCAGCGTGCTTCACCAGAAGGTGTTATATAGAAATCCTTCACTGAAGACGTGATTGATCATTTTTGAGCTTATGAGAGTCGCCTGCAGTATCAATTTAACCATTGAAATTATGTTGCTAATGTTCTGAAAAAATCACCATCGTGACAGGCAGCTAGCATTAGCCATCCCTAGTTTATCAGGATTAATGATTTATATAATTAATTATTATTGTTAGTTCTTAATGTTTAAAGTCAACCCTGTGATAATTTTGGTAATTAATAATTTGGTGATAATACGGATAAGTGATGTTGGTGATCATACAGTACAGTACCAGGTACTCGAAAATATGCTAACTCGATTATACTTTACTCGATAGTTTTTGAACAAACTGTTATGTCAAGTCTTGTCTTGCTTTCTTGCGCCCCCTGAAAAAATCCTCCAGATGTCCACTGTCAACTTTGTACAGTATTGGTTTCTTCAGTTTTGTATCACTTGAGTGTGTTATATTATTCTCAAGTGTGTTCAGTATATTTACTGTCCACCCCTGCTAACAATACCAGTGGGGGGTTTGGGTAGGGGTAGGTTAGCAGTAGGGTAGTTAATCTTCAGATAAAATAGCTGATTATCTAGTCTTCAGGTGATCTCAAAAGTACAGCCACTCCTCGACTTACGACCACCCGGACATACGATTTCCCCAGTTGTACCAAAAAATTTTCAAATTACTTATTTTCGAGTCCTGACGTTAGTGATTGCGCTGTGTACTGACAAAATTTTCGTTTGTAATTCCCTTTAAAATGGCTGGCAAGCTTAAAAGTGAGAGTTTTGTGGTGCTGAGAAGAAAAAGTGACACCCATTTTAGATTTTCTATGTATTATTTTCATATTTTCGATTTACAACCTGGATTTGGGTCCCTAACCCCGTCGTAAGTCGAGGAGTGGCTGTATTATATGCTATGAAAGATTTGAGCATTTTAAATATTGTAAAAAACGTAAGAGTAAGGAATAGCTTTTTAAACTGAATCTTACACATATTACATACAAGTAATTGAGGAGAAATTGCACAACTATAAGGTGATTACAGAAGAATGACACAATGTAACCTTATTAATACTTAACAACAATGAGTGTTAGAAAAAAATGAAGTTTGTTAGTGTACAGGTATTAACAGAATCTAATACAGTATAAACAGTGACACAAGGACTAGGGTCTAATACATGCTTCTCTTAAGACAATATCCACTTCATATAAATTATCTATATCTCTTGGTACTTAACTGTGTGTATCTTAATACTGGAAAGTGCCACATATCACTATTGCCATTAAGGGAATGTTTTACCTCCAAAATCATTAAGATTCAAGAGTGTAAAATGAACTTAATCAAGACTGACAGACAAACAAGAAGGATGGCTAGACAAACACCATGATCAAATATCCCTCAATGTTTTCAAAGATGGGAATAATAATAACAGCCATGAACTAGGAGGTAAATAACTTCTTTCTGTACTGGCTTAATTTTATTGGATATTTCTCTATAAAACATACATTCCTGACGCAAAATAAACCAAACTAATAGTCTTTACAGATTCTGAAGCTTTAATTGTTTTTGTTGTTTTTTCGTATCTATTTAGTGGTGATGTTTATTGTGATAAGTCAATTTTTTTTTCCACCGTTAGAAAAAATTATACTGTATTATGCTAGAGACACTTGACTATAGAGCCAGATGGCAATAAAACTGGACCTGGAAACTCCATCTTCATCTCTGAACAAACTTTGGGTGACGACACAATTAAGTTATACATCACAGTATTCCACCTTGTGAGTCATACCCATAGTGTATTGTCCCTGGATCATGCATGACCTGTACAAGTATACATCCCTGGATCATGACCTGTACAAGTATACATCCCTGGATCATGACCTGTACAAGTATACATCCCTGGGTCATGACCTGTACAAGTATACATCCCTGGATCATGACCTGTACAAGTATACATCCCTGGGTCATGACCTGTACAAGTATACATCCCTGGATCATGACCTGTACAAGTATACATCCCTGGATCATGACCTGTACAAGTATACATCCCTGGATCATGACCTGTACAAGTATACATCCCTGGATCATGACCTATACAAGTATACATCCCTGGATCATGACCTGTACAAGTATACATCCCTGGATCATGACCTGTACAAGTATACATCCCTGGAAGTATACGCCCCTGGATCATGCATGACCTGTACAAGCATACATCCTGGATCATGACCTGTACAAGCATACATCCCGGATCATGACCTACAAGCGCCATCCCTGGATCATGACCTGTACAAGCATACATCCCTGGATCACACCTGTACAAGTATACATCCCTGGATCATGACCTGTACAAGTATACATCCCTGGATCATGACCTGTACAAGTATACATCCCTGGATCACAAGTATACATCCCTGGATCATGACCTGTACAAGTATACATCCCTGGATCATGACCTGTACAAGTATACATCCTGGATCATGACCTGTACAAGTATACATATCATGACCTGTACAAGTATACATCCCTGGATCATGACCTGTACAAGTATACATCCCTGGATCATGACCTGTACAAGTATACATCCCTGGATCATGACCTGTACAAGTATACATCCCTGGATCATGACCTATACAAGTATACATCCCTGGATCATGACCTGTACAAGTATACATCCCTGGATCATGACCTGTACAAGTATACTGTATATACATTCCTAGAGCCCATCCCTTAAAGAGTATATCTATAATAATATACTCACAAAAGAGTATTACTTACTGCTACTACATGCCACCCTCCACCAGACCCAACCCCTCATCCCCGCCAACTCAGTAGAAATGTGGATAAATAACGAACGGATGGGTCTGGTGCCGTCCAAAGCTATAACTCTGCAAACACGACATCAAGTTAACTTATCTCGGGTCCAGCATCTGAGACATACCGGGTTAAAAAATCATGGCAGGAAACTTGTTGTATAAATATAAAAAAGTAACTGTTAATTTCAGGAAAAAATTTAACAGCTGTGGCACAACTTGGTGGTGAATTGCTACAAATGTTAACATTCTAAACTTCTTCTTCATCTTGACAATCCCTGATAATAAAAGACTGATAAATAAAAAGAACATTCTCTTTATTACTGTACTGTCCTGGTAACTGGAAAATGCTTACCCCCATCATTACACTGCATAAAATTCTCTCAGGGAAGTTAAGTGTAAACAGACTACTCGTCTATGTCTCTAAAAAGAGTAAAGTTCTTAGGTTACGTCCTATCAAAAGAAATCTACCTAAAGAACTAAGTACATCCCAGTTTCTAACGAATACTAATGGAATAAACACGTACCACACACCAACGTTATATTACAGTAAATCTCGATTCCTCCGTCCAAAAAATTACACAGGAGAGACACGTAACTTCCATACCAAATACTGTACTGTAATGATACATACGTAGGAGACTTAATTGAGGGCAACCAACGACTACTTCAAGCACCTTCCCTCTTGTAGTTTTCATTTGTAATTTGCTGGAGTCAAATCCATAAAAGTTAAGACTCCTTAGGAAATCTGTTGTAGAAACTTGATGGGTATGTCAATCAAACACATACCATCATAAAAACAAAATGATTATCTTTATCACACTTCAATAAAGTTCATATAATCAGCAATCATAAAATAACATAAAAATTTCCACATACCTATTATCTTTACAAAGAAATTAATTTGTAAGGAAAGTCAGGAAACCACTGTAAATCTATGAACCATCGTCCTTCACAAACTTAGATACAAAATACCTTGTTGAGTAACTGTGTCCGAATGGCAGGTACAGCTGTGTAAAATAAATTTATATAAAAATATGCTAATATGTTTTTCTTTAAACTAATTTTACACTTATTTCATTAGTTGGTTCTTCACTTCAGACTCATTTGACTGGGAACTTGAGCAACTAACATTACCAGCATCTTTTTCATTTTTATTATTGGTTTCCACTGAGGGACTATCAGAGGAGGTATTGTCTGGTTCCTGGCCAACCGTCGAGTCTGACTGTGGTAAGCTACTGGAAGATGTTGAGGCGGCATTGTCGGTGCCCGTTGTGGGGTCCGGACTGTCACGGACAGGGGACGAAGTGCTGGCAGTAACTGGCGTGGGAGATGAAGCAGACGAGGAGGATAAAGTCTGAGAGGTGGTGTGGGCTGCTGTATCTGGAGGCGAAGCTACGGATGGAGCGATCGAGGGGTCGGGCGGCGTGGCTGAGGAGGCGTCCGAGGAAGGAGAAGGGGAAGATGTGGCCGAAGGTGAAGTTGCAACAGGAGATGAAGTAGGCTGGCTTGACACACTGTTGGACTGTGCCTGGGACGTACTATCAGCCTCATGACTGTCTTTGCTTTTCTCTTCCTCTATACAAGGCATCTCTGACACATGTGCTAACTCACTCCTGCTGCTGTTTGCTGCAGCCGCTGCTGCCTCTGAGCTTCCCTCTCTTTCATCCTACAAACCACAAAAGTTATTAATGATAAATTCAAGACACATACATTTATGCATACAGTAAAGCCTCGAATAACGAAGTTAATGTGTCCTCCAATATTGCAGTGTAAGGTGAATCATCGTATCACGAATCATTAATTACCATTAAAATAAAGCAATAATAATGAGATGCGTTCCCAAGTGTGACCTTGTCATATCTTTTGTGTGGCTTTTTACCCTCTTTTTCTCCCAAAACAATACAATTAATAAAAATTGCAAACTATATTCTTTAAATAATATTTCTGAATGCATCTTATACAATATAAATGAATAATAATATGGTCACACAAGAAGTGATGGGACGCCATTGTTTTCGTTTGCGTTTACAGCCGGGAGTCCGGGATGATAAAGCGAGACGATTGGGAACGCCAACGTATGAACAGGAAGTGCGTACATGTGAAAATAATGTCGTCATTTCTCTGCAAATGAATATGAAAGCAACACTTATTTACTGTTCATATATGTTTTAAATAATATTTACAAATGTAAAACAAAAATTCTACTCACCAATGGTGGTAAAGTCTAAAACATAAGGACAGCCAATGAATATTGTGCGAGTTTTTACTCAGATGACGAAGTCATCAGGTTCAACTCTGGCTGAAGCTGTAGCTTTCCATAAAGCTGGTGCTGAAACTGTTACTGACCCTGAAGTTGATGTTGAAGCTGCTTATGATGCTGAATTTGATGGTGTAGCTGAAGTTGTTGGTTTAAGCCTTCAAATAATAAAGCGGTCGAAAGAACCTTGCACAGCTGCTTTCTTTTCTCATTATACATCTTTATGTAGAGGTCATTTGTGTTTATTTAAATTTTAATGCTTTGTTCTGTTAATGGATCCACTTCAGAAAATATGTTCATTGCTTGCTCCATATAATATCCACAGACCTCTCACCTTTTTCATATCATTTTAACACATCTAGTTTCTCGGCTAAGCTTAGACACTTTCTATTAGCTTTTGAAACAACACTGCCATCACTTGCTCTCTTGCTCATGTTGAATAGGGATGAAAAAATGAGGTAAGAAACCCAAGAAATTTTTTTCTCCTGTTCCTGTTCCAGATGCGTGAAAACAAAAGGCCCGTCAAGCTCCGACTGTTGTTTACCACTCATTAACAAGGCAGCTTCTTTGCGCAAGGCGCTCTTAATTTTTTTACAGTAATTTTTTTTATAATACATGTTGGAATTTAGTTATTATTTATATGAAAATGTAATTTCATTTTATTTTTATTATATTTTGGTCATAAATACGAATGAAATAAGGACGTAAATTGAATTGGGTCCTAAATTAACGAGGGTTTTAAATATGAAAAGTTGTTGGTCGAACTGTTGTTATCGGAGGCTTTACTGTACTGGTTTGTGGGTCTCCTTATAAGAAGCTCTATATGACAAATACCTTTATGTATTTAAGATATTTTACCATTTCTCAAAATCAGATAATTAATCAGTGTTGAACACAATTTGAACTAGAAGAGAAATCTTAAAGAAAAGACTGAATTGTTTACAGTAAACTAAAATTAAAACAATTTACTATTACTGTACAAAATATTACAACACAAGCAACATTGATTAATAATATTGGCAAAGCATAAAATTAACAAAATTCAATAGACTCATCACTTGTGTTTATAATTATTCAATTTATCTCAAGTGAGTCTTGGATGAGTCTACTGCCTATTAGTAATTAGCATTTTTCACTGCCAGGGATGTTTAACAATGTGGTGCTGAGTCCTTCAAGATAAAGAAAATGTTGAGTGATGTTACAATAACCAAATACCAAACAGTCTACAGTAGTCTCTCAGCTGTTCTTTAAGATATGAAGTGGGGCTAAACTGCTACTGTAGATTTAGTTTCTTTTTATTACTTTACCTCTGCTAGCTTTTTCCCACACTGAGTTGGGTTACCAGAATCAGGAGAAACACAGATTAGCCTATATGTACACACACAAACACACACACATTCCATAAACAGTATGAAGCCAACTCTGAGCCCCTGAGTTTACCTCTTATTAACACACAAATAAGATGTGAGGAAAGCTCACCTGAGTTGTGTCCTTCATCTGTTCAAACTGCTGATGGACCACTTCTGATGTACCCTCCACAGAATCTGGACTTCCCTCAGCATTTGTGGTGGCTGCAGCAGACGTTGATAACACGTCGGTTGTATCATTTTCTTCTTCAAGTTTTTCTGGTACACTTCTGTGGGAACTGTTTGATGAACACACTTCTGGGGAGACTGATGATAAAGACTCATCTTTATCTTCAATTTTATGTCTGACTTCCTTTGTGAGTTCTGTAGAATCTTGTGGCACTAATTCACTCGTTCCTACTTGTTGACCGAGTCTTTCCTGAGACAAATTTACTTCTTTTTCCTCACTGACTTTCACCGTGTGACATGTGGCCTCTGCCTCTCTCAACTCCATAGCCTCTGCCTTGGCACTACTAGAATCACTGCTGCTGCTGCTGGTGTCACTGCCATCTTCACTGGCTTCAGCCTCCATACTCTCAGCATCATGGACAGGATTAAAAGAATTACATTTTTCTTCTTGTATCTGTGGCATTTCGTCGGCAGACCCCGTTGCTTTATCTTCAAAGGTGTCGTCCGTCGTCTTAACCTTCTTGGAGGGCGGCTCAGTTGTTTCTGTCAATGTGTCACTAATATCCTCTCTATGTAGGCCACTAGGACCATTAGCCTCAGACCCTGTTACCTGGTTATCACTCTCATTCATTTCACGACCGTAAGTCTCTGAAAAGAAAAAGAAAGGAAAAATAAACAATAGACCAATTAATAACTGAAATACACTACACAAGGGTGACCGAGAGAAAACAGTTATATGCTGTAACAGTGTGGACTGAGTCAAGCATTCTTTTTGCGAGTCAGTCAGGATTAGCATTTAGAGCTGGATGATGTAGCTAAGTGTCTAAGATATAGAACTGGAGAATAGACTAAGTAATGTTCAGCTACATAGGAAACTGATCAAGCAAAACAGGAGAAAAATAAAACCTAATGTGGTGGTGTATAGGTGTGTGATTACAATGAATAAGTTTGTCATCTGAGAATGAGATCATTCACCAAGTTTGGGTAGAAGGACCAGAGATGCCAAGAGGATGTAGATAAAGGAGGCCATGTCTTACCTACAGTAAATCTTTATACAAATTGAATAATACTTAGTGAGTGAATAATGAAATGAACAATAAGGAACAAGAAGTACTCAGAAAAAGAATAAGATGAAACTAACCATTTGTATTATTGGTGACAGAGTTTGCAGATGGTGCTAAAGATAACCTCTTGGTGAGATGTGACATTGGCGACGTTGCAGAGGAGACAGATATGGTGGTTGTGTGGAGTCCACTTTCTTGCAAGCCGTTGACCAGGGTCTGTTGTGCATCTTCCGTGCGTCGCCTGAAAGTAAACAATGATCTAGAAAAAGATATCCTAAATAGTTCTGCATATTGAAGTAGAACATCATTTTTATACTTCCTCCCTCAGTGAAACAAATAAAAATTAAAAAATCATATGTCAGAAGGTAGGTAAAACTGCAGGACTATTCTTACTGAGCATAACAAAGGTGAAGGAGGTTGCTGGTTTAATCCAACCTAACAGTAGATGACTGGTACAGGTGCCGTGATGATATGACACGGCTACAAGTTGCTTATTCTATATTGTACTGTATCACTAAAGCCAATCCTGACAGTGCCTATAATACTTTCTGGTTTGGGTGACCGGTGGTAGAAGCGGTACCGTTCTTGCCTCGCAAGAGAGATGTCACGGGTTCGATTCCCGGGCCGGTGGAAGTTGTTTGGACTTACTTCCTAGCCCCCATTAGTCCCAGTTCACCTAGCAGTAAAGTAGGTACCTGGTGTAAGTCGAAAGTTGCAAATTCGTATTCAGGGACAAGTTGTTGGAGCTTCCAATAACTTGAAGACAAACCACTGACTCTTCAGGCTTCTACGCCCTTAACTCATGAGACATAAAGGCAAGCATGAACTTAGCATGCTTCCCTGTTGGGCGCAGTAAACGCTTCTCGCTTCACCTTACACAAGGACGAGGGGAGTGCCCCCCAAAAAAAAAAATACTTTCTGGGTAATAATCATAGTTTAGATGTATTTCTACTTGCCCTGGCCATTTCCTGTCACATTCTACACTCATCTTGCATCATTATATCTTCCTTTATCCCCCAATTTCTTTGAGGCCGCTGCACCCCTTCATAGTCCCCACGAGAAAGAGGACAAGGAATAGAGAAAACAAATAAGACAGATTGGTAGACAAGTAGATACTGCACTGAGCTACCAATCCAATCCTTGTCCACTGAGCTACCAATCCAATCCTTGTCCACTGAGCTACCAATCTGACCCTTGTCCACTGAGCTACCAATCTGATCCTTGTCCACTGAGCTACCAATCTGATCCTTGTCCCCTGAGCTACCAATCTGATCCTTGTCCACTGAGCTACCAATCTGATCGACCAATCCAGGCATCATATCAGTTGTGGCCGAATAAAACACTACAATAGAAAATTACATTGTACAGAATTTTGCCTCTCAATTTAATATCGCATTATAACAATTAAATAGCCAAATAGGTTTACAAAAATTAATTCTCATTGACAAAATACCTATTGATAGTCTTCATATATAATCTTTGACATTAGATTCACAATCCTCATCATAAACTATCAAAAGAAAGAAGGAATGAAAGAAAAGAAGTTAACAGAACGATAAAAGAGGACTAAACAGATCGAAAGAAAAAGAAAGAACATAAGAAAAAAAACACATCCTGCACGACTGCTTCAATACCACCCTGCTAGGTGTAAGTGAGATAGAGAATGCACACCTTACACCATTGTTCTCTACTATACACCAAAACATTCTACACCCACCCACTCACACAGACAGAAGATACAGTACTACTTAAAAGCGTGAACTCATATGAACGTCAATTTACGACCATAACAACGCCCAACAGAGTTGATAATTGCACGTGGAGGTTGTAGAGGGAAATACCATACTGTACACTCATTAAAAAAAAGAATGATGGGATTGCATGAATGAGGATGAAGGAGGAGGGTGACACTCACTGGCGGCCGGGCTCAATATTCGACACTACCAGCACATTCTTCTCTAGCCCCCTGAGGAACTTGTCTGTCCGCTTGTAGTGTCTGGTGGGGTCTACCATTATTTCACACAGCCTCTGTATGGTAAACGGTGCACTGAAATATACGGTGAATTACTGAATACATATATACGGTATATGTCGTTAGTTAATTGCTATAACCGTACAGTATCTTTTAAAGGTTCTGAATTTGATGTCTATAAAATGCATTCCTCTTCTAATTATAACTGATACATCACAGATACAGGAATACTAATAATAATCTAAAAATATTGATTTTTTTTTAGGCTTTTTGCCATAATAAAAAGTTCATTGTGCACAGAAATACAGTACAATATACATTACCATAAATACATAAAGATAAATTATATACAATTATATACAGTCTCACAAAATACAACTGAAAGAAACTATGTACCTAATACCACAGAGATCATAACCGGAAATCCCATTGGAGGAGAAGATAAAACATGGAAGAACCAGAGTACGTATTGTATATTTTGACCGTAGCCTACAGTCCTACAGTGAAGTAGACCGTAAATTATGGCTGAATTTTACAGTGATCTCTCTTCCCTGTGTTTTATCTTCTCCTACAGTGGGATTTCGGCATCACTTCATTTGCAATTAATCCTCAACACATAATATTTTAACAGTGACAATTGGAACACAACACTTGAAGAAATCTAATGTTTTTTCTTAACAGGATAAGGACAATTTTGGATCAGTTATGGTATTATAGTTGACCTAAGTCTTATACAGTATATTGCACCTTGCCCTCGAGAGCTGGCTTCATGGTAACCCGGAACATAAAGCTACGAAACAACCTGTGACATTTACCGGGTTGATGTGACGTTAAATACCACAAACAAGGTGATATAGAACTGATCTGTTGCCTCTTTGTCTTGTCTTGATAATTTTGTGGACAAGTTCAGTAGTATGAGTACTGTACTGCCCCTCCACCTCACTCACCAGGACATATTTGTGAACCAGTTGTTTTTAACTCTTTCACGGCAATCATCATCGTCGTTATAGATAATTTATGACAAAGGCGTCATCGTCGCCCCAAGACAATTGGCATTTGGTGCCATGAATTTGAAGCTGTTAACAAAATATCAAACTGAGAATGGAAAGTTGATGATTGGTAGATACACTAGAGTGAGTCACAAGGCTGGTGGAGCCTCAGATCAACTCGCTACTATCTTCTTCGAATGATTTGGAATTACTGTATTTAAGCCTCATCCCCATACCCCCATCCTCAGTAGCACCTATAAAGCCCCAGCCTAGCTCACCACCTATGCAAGGGCTTACAACCCACCTTCACCACAAAAACCCACCGCTGCACCTCCACAACTACCTCTTGCATCACAACAACAACCACCACTCAACACTTGTGAGTTACACTCCACTTCACTTCACGGACTTACAAGTTGCCACCCAAGTTGAGTAAAACAAAATTTATATGGATTTTGAGGCTTCTAAAATTTTACATCTCAAATTTAAAAAAAAAATGTATTAAAACTTTCATGTCATGTTTTTGTGATATATGGGTACCCTTGATTATTGTTACTGGGTTAATAACAAACTAGCGGGTGGGTAAATGATCATACTGTACTGTACTGCAACAAGTAGCTTGAGTCAGGTATGAATAAAATACTATCCTCTTCAGTGATTATTTAAAGCTAGCATGGCTGGAAGGTCCATTCAGAGTCACCATACCTAAAGAGACCAAGAAGGGAAGTTCAAGTGCTGTACAGTATATCAAGACTCTGTTACACAAATGTGCTCTTAAATTACAACAATTACATTTTGGGTAACATTATCATAAAGGTGGTTCGTTAACCTAGATATGAAGAAAAATGTATCTGTTTTTCATGGCACTAGAGAATTAGGTATATATCTCTTACCTAGGGAACCGAAAAATACTTCAATAAATGTTCTTGTAGCAACCATCATCCTCAGACCATCTACAGGGAGCATCAGTGTTTTCCTTTGATAATCTCCAGAAACTCTAGTGTTTTTCTGTTATTAACCCAGAAATAACTCATACTGGCCTAACAAAATGTGTTGTGTTGATAACTTGACACATCAAGTGTTCAACCACCTGAAATATTCCACCATTCATGATGTACAGCCAATCATGACATTCCTCAAAAAATCCCACATTAATGAAAGTTAAAAGTAAGGATTCAATACTCTATTATGTATGCCCTAAATCAAGTGCTTGAGGGCAATATTTACTATAGCACATGACTCATGTATAGCTAAGGACGATGGCCATATGATCTGAAATAATCCTCCGAGATGTTAACAGGGTCAGTGATTCACACACCTATTTTAGATAAACTTTAAAACACATAACTGTGAGTGAATCATCATTACTGAACAAAGGTGATCAAGAATTGGTTATAGCCACATTACTACTAAGTTGGTTGTACATCTGAAAAGGTTACACAAGGTAAGGGAGAAAGATAATCTCAGTGAGTCAGTCAATCAGGATAATCATTCACTGGTTTGACCTACAGACCTAAAAATACACCAGAGGTATTCTAATTGTCTCTCTGGTCTCTCCCGCCACAGTATAATCATTTCACTGACACCAGGCAGGAAATCCTTGACATCATGAAGGGTTTCCCCTGCAGCTGTGTCATGATAATTACTTTGTTTACATTTTTCCAAATTTCTCTTAATTAATTAGATTTATTCTTGCCAATTGGGTCAACACACCAATATTTTTCTTCATTCCCTCTTCAGCCATCATGAGTGAGATAGGATTTCTTGTTATTACTGAAGGAATTCATACATTAGACTCTGTAAATGATCTTTCTACCCCTTAAAACAACACTACTGTACTGTAATCTAATGATGGAATATGCAAATTATATTTCTATGTAACATTACTAACCCAGCAAAAGTGTCAAAGTGGTGTAATAATTTATCACGTGTAGCTGAGTAAGAGAAGGCTGGTACGTTGCCACACTCGCTCATGTCTTCCCCGCCGCAATTTTCATAAAACTCGTTCATCACCTGTGGATGAGAAGATGTCATTACTTATACATGTAGTCACTGATGCTGTACAATACTACAAACGGAAGAGAATATACTTAGGAAAATTCCTTTATACTGTACATCAATAATAAAACTTCAAATGTAACCAAAATGCTAAGTCTAATTATGGTAAGAAGATTTACCAATTAGGTTAATATGTATATTGTGTGCATGAAGCCCCACTGAGCAGCTCTAGCAAGACCTAACCCGCTTAGAACATGACAAGATAAAATGCTAAGTGCAACAATTCTGGTGTGATGAAACAATGGAAATGTATTACTGAAATTTAGCAAACAGTTGGGGAGAAATTCTAGACTGTGTGAAAATTAGACACCCTTGATCATTTCACCTGTTGATTAAACACCCTAATCTTACCTGGGTGGACTAGGTTAGGTAGGCTGTAGTGTGCTTAATGTTAAGGTGAAATAAACTGAGGGGCTAATTGTCATGTGATCCCAAATTTCTGTTAAATGAAGTGAATTACAAGACATAAGAATCAGCTGTAACCCATGAACTAAAAGTGAGAAATATCCATGAACCCCTTGTGTATATTGTGTTCCCCTCCGAGTCGAATATAAAATTAAAAGTGGCGTCCCCATAGAGGTGTTAAATTTATTGAACAATACGACAGAAAATGGTTATTAATTCCTAGCAAATACAAGGTCCCCACTAATGCTCTATCTCATCTGTTTAAGGGTAATGACTAATGAGTAATAGGACAAGAACAACAATGATATGGACACCAGGATGGTTACAACAGCTCACGAGGGGTCAATCACAAGTACGGCATTACTCTAATACAGCGGGACCTCGTTAAGATTAGGAGCCCTCACTTATTTCACCTGATTATTAAACACCTTATTCTTAACCTAACCTAACCCAATCCCCCAGGTAGTGTTTAATCATCAGGTGAAATAAACAGTGGTTCCTTGTCTTCATGAGATACTTATAGCTTATCCAAATGGAGACACAAAACAATTGGTAATTCAAATATTCAGTTGATAAATACAGTAAACCCTTGTTCTTCGCGAGGGTTAGGTTCCAAACAATGGTGTGAATAGGCAAAACTGCGAATAGCAACTTATACTGCCTTAGGGCACTACTGTACACCTACACCAAACAACCAATCAGCCGCGGCAGCACTCATCCCCTCCTTTAACTTGTCTAATAATTTATAATTCAACTTTCTTTGTCAGGGTCATCATTGACTTCTGCCTTTTACATTTCACTTCACTAGCGCTCACATTAGGCAGTCCTTTAGGGGTCATTTTCACACAAAAACACTAAAGTTTTGAGAGTACAACATGAAATGCTGCATGACAAGGCTTGTAAGCTAGCCACCATAGCCACCATTTGGTTACCGTGAATCATCAAAATCGTGAATCGCAAACCTGCAAATGGCAAAGGTCTACTGTTCATTATTTATCTATACCCCACTACATTATTCGATACATTGTACTGTAATTCTTTGACAAAGCTTCCATCAAGATTAATTATTCGGGTTGCATAAAGGAATTAAATTTTAATTAAGGCATTAGTAACACAAGCTACTCACTGTTTCTAGCATGTGTCGCATAAAATGTCTGATCCGGTGCCAGGGAAAAACGGTGTCTCCGGTCTTGGCAACATGTTGAATGTACTCCTCCAAGACCTTTGATACTCCAACACCGCTCTTCTTCTCAAACTCTGCCAAGGTGAAGGAAACATTAAACATCACTCGTATTAATAATTTAGCTAACAAACATTACTAGAAATTTTAAATGATGAAAGAATTAGACCATGTGAAGATTCAGTGAATGTAAAGAGTCACAGGATAAATCACAATTTTGGCTAGGAAAAAAGTCACATTTCCTTTATCATTAACAAGCAAGGTAATAAACCAAATGCATTTTAAGGTGGTTGATAATTGACAATACAGTATATGACTTGCACAGATTGACAATACAATATATCATGGCATTAACCCTTTGTAGGGCAGCGGCATACATAGGTATATTAAGGGTATATTTGTACAAGTAATGAAACAAAGTTTATCGTCATACTGCCTGACAGCGACCACTGGATCTTTACCTATATTCCCAACTTAACTTAGTTTTGTGAGTGACATGGTTAGTACATGAACCCATTGTAGCAGAGTTTTGAACCACATTTAGTACTGTCAATAATTTCCATGGCAGTAGACATGAAAAATATATTTTATTCTTATATTAATTTATGAATAATAATATTTACAAATACTGTATTGTCCAAGGTACCGACTTACCATAGCTGACCACTGTGGGAATGTGAAGAAATATAACTTTATAAAAATGCCATAGTTCTGTTACTAATTATGCATTTATTAGATATTAAGCTTTACTGTACAGTACTCAATAACTGGAGATAATTACAGATGTTACAGAAGAACAAGGTTAAATACACAGTTGACCTCAAGGAATAACAAAACACAACTTGACCTCATACATGGCCAAGAAATTTTATCTGATTAGACAACCTGTCCTCCCAATGACCTCACCTGACTTGCCTCAGTCAATTTCAGCTTCACGTTGCCCATTTATACAGAGACTAACCTAACGTTTTTTTTTTTTTTTTTAATCATTAATAAATCAATTCTGTGCATTGCTTCATTGAGATTGATTGAAATATTGACTTTTATAAATAAAATTTGACAATTAATCTTCAAGTTAAAGAAAAACTTCCTAATGTTACCTGAGGATTTAAGTTATGTGAGCTGAAATAAGTTACAGTGCCTGAACACTATACAAGGTGGAATGATATGAAGTTCTAAACATATTTGTGATAAATTTGAATACACGATGGTAAATATATACTGAGTCATACCGATTCCTAACATTAAGGCAATTTCCATAGACCTAACATGAATGACTCAAACCTTCATCTCACTTCCTTCTCCTCATTTTCCTGGAGGTAAGAGGGTCAACAGTCAGTCAGGTCACAGGGGGGTGTGGTCATCAGTCGGTTATGTCACAGGGGGTCAGGTCATTCATCAGGTCAAAAGGGGTGTGGTCATGTGAAGTTCCAGGTCAAAGGAGGTGTGGCCATGTCATGTTCCAGGTCAAAGGGGGGTGATCGTGTGAAATTCCAGGTCAAAGGGGGTGTGGTCATATCAAATTACAGGTCAAAGGGAGGGTGTGGTCATGTCAAATTACAGGTGTAGTCATCTGTCAGGTGTACTCGGTAAATACAGACAGAGAACCACCACCGAGCAGTCATGATTTTTCACTGAAGAGGTTGAAGAAAGACCCCCCAACCTCTATGGATTTTCTTTAGTAAATTAAGAATCAATTTTAACACATTATCACCCAATAAGTCCATTTAATACAAGTACATTTAAGTAAAGTGTGGTATGAAAAAACTACCAAACACTGCTGATGGGACCCCTTGTTGTAGAGTATTACCATAATGCTCTAGGAATATATATTAGTTAGGGTTAAGTTAGGTTTGGTTAGGTGTGACTCATTTATTTTTTTTGGGGTGGAATTTGAGCAGCTGGGTTGATAGTGGCAATTGAGATCATGTTCAGAGGGATATAGTTGATGTTTCTTTGTATACCAGTACTGTTTATATACACGGTTTGTATACTTGAACTGTGTATGTATTTTGTATACTTACACTGTCTACATTTTTTTTAAAGGGGATTAGCCCACCCATACATAGTGAATTAATATAAACTTGTATCATTAATCGACTACATATATCTACTGGGACGTTAAAATATATTCATTTCATTGTTTATATCTACTTGCTGTTAATATCTCTCACCGGGAAAGAAAGATGTATCAGCCCAGTGTTAAGGTGTGGTAGGGTGTACACAGTGTGAGGTTCGGTACAGTGGGAGGGTGCACACAGTGGGAGGGTGCACACAGTGGGAGGGTACACACAGTGGGAGGGTGCACACAGTGGGAGGGTACACACTGTGGGAGGGTGCACACAGTGGGAGGGTGCACACAGTGGGAGGGTGCACACAGTGGGAGGGTACACACAGTGGGAGGGTGCACACAGTGTGAGGGTCAACACACAGACCTGACCCAAGCAGCTGTAGCCAACAATGACCCCCCACCACCACACTACTCCCTCACCTCCCCACCACTCTTTAACACACTGACACTGATGTTCCAGGCCACATCACAGCTCTGAGGGTTTGGGGTTTAATTATTGAGCGGGAGAGAAGAGGGTGTGGAGTAATCAGCTGTGGAGGGCCGGGCGCTTCTCTCCTCTTGTCTCTCCCTCAACAACTCCTTAACTCACTCCCTAACTACTACCACTTAGTGAGAGAGGAAGAAAAAATAGAAATACTTACTTTCAAGTTCCTCTAATATGGATTCTAGGTTCTCCATAATCGTTAAAAAAGCCTTTATGACAGGCGAGGTGACCCCACTTCGTTGGTCTTCTACTGAACTTGAAAACAAACAACATGGCGGATGTCTATGAGAAATGTTTTGGTGATAATTAACAGGTCTAGTGTACATTAACACCCAACTACGATAATTACAACTAACATTAATTACATATTCATTTGTGAGGAAAATTAGTAAATGATAATTAACTAACAATTTTATGGATAACAAGATTGTGAGGGACTGCAAGGCTAAAAGCTTTCCTTCTCCTTGTTATAAAACTTTCTTTTTGGTGAAAGTCATATACTACTTAAATTGCAGAATATATACAAGAAAATGACTTTTTATATATTATATATTAATAATAACAATACAAAAATCTTAAGAAAAACGCTATGTTGACAGAAACAAGTGTATCCACTGCTTTAGTCTGTATTCAGGAAGTAAATGTCTCATAAAGGAATGTAAATAATAGCAGATGAGATAAGAGGAAAATGAAAATGAATTCTAAGTGCTCGATATATGTAAGTTGTGTACATATACATATACATACATTTCCTCTCATATGTGATGGCGTGTCTTAAATGTACAGACAGAAAATATCTTCATATAAATTCACCCATCGATTTAGAGTGTATAATTTTGGACAAAATTAGGTGGATAATTTGACAGCTATAACTCAGATTAACCACCTCACTTAACCAAACGTAATCTAACACCAACCTAACTTAACGTGCTTTAACACCAACCTAACTTAATGTTATTTAATCCAACATAAACTAATCGGTCAGTTTCATTGCATTAAGACACACTAGATCCTTATTTTGGATAGTTTCCTTAAGTATTTGCTGCCTATTTCTCCGAGTATTCATATTTTGACAAGATCTCTCAATGTATAATTCTTCTTTGGGTTAAGTTTCCCCCAAACGTCGGATCGTAAGGTATAAAAATTATGTTTTCTAGAGTTACCCCAACACAGTATACCGTCTTCTCTAATAGCATTGCTTTGTCTCGGGTCAACTCGTGTTATGCAGCACTACTTACGATACTCTGATGGGACTCGATGCCACAGTCGGTTAGAGGCGCTACAACGTCTATTAAAAAAGAACCTGGGTGTTGGTTGGGGGAGTACAAGCTAAACAATACAGTACATATATGTTTACCTTAATAAGTTAATATAAACAAGTTATGTGTTTAATCACTTTAACCTTCTTTTGTAATGCTATCTATGGGAGGTGTACCAAAATATCATGTTCCTCGAATGGATAGATTTTATACAGTCGTAGTTTTTGTTGGTTAAGGGAAAAACACCGTATAATGAGCAGTGTGTTCATTCATTTTATCGAATTATTAGAAGATTAGACAGGTTCCTTCACCTAGACGTTAATCACTCTAACGCTACCTAGGTGGTTAGGTTCAAATAGCATTATTGATCTATCTTCAGGTGAAACAAGCTGGGATATCTAATCTTAAGTTGATCTTTTTATGCTTACTGAGTGCGTGATGGTACAGAGAGGGTGTCTTCTTGACTTTATTCTCTTTGCCACTTGTTAGCCACTTGGGCGGTCAGTCATGTTTCTTTTGGCAAGTACTGTGCATGTATTGGCTCCTGATGTCCTGAATGTACTGTATCTGTACCTGTGCCAGTGTTGTTAAAGTCTGGTCGAGAATGAACTCACACTGGGTGCCGTCACAACACTCTCTGGCAGATTGTTCTAAGAGATTACAACTCTCACTCCAAAACAGTTTGTCCTGACATTTTCTGAACTTGTGTCTTCTTCAACGTTAAGCTGTGACCTCTAGTGGGGCGAGCGTCCGTTCGTTCCAGGTATGAACGCTAGACTGAGTATTGTCCTCTGAAGTGCTCATAGACAGTAAGACAGAGGTGATCAGAGTGTGGGGCCGAGCAGGGTCTCGCATTCTCAGTGAATATAGAAACGAATATATACAGTATATATAAGGCAAACATAAAACTAACTTCTTTAGGTTTATTTTTATTATGTCACTGGCTAGTTAGTTTTCCGTTGTTGTATGTAATTGACAATCTTGGGGGGGGGGGTATATAGGATAGGATACGCTGTTACTTAAAGGTTTAAGAACTTTAAGGTAAAATATAAACTTCCCATATTATAGGTCTAAGGTGATCAATGTTTTACTTAGGGTGTTTAGTTTTGTAACACAACGGCTTGTGGGTGTGTGGCTCAGGGTCCCCCACACGTCTGAAGTGCAAAGGGCCCCCACAGTCCTACTGGCGCTACTTATAGACTTCTTGGAGTTCCTTAATGTGTGTGTATGTGTGTGTGTGTAAACTTTGAACCCCTGAACTTAAACATGTGTACGTGTGTTATTGAGATGTTTACCTCCCCAACATATTTGAATCACTGCACGTGTTCAAGATAACATGAAAGTGATATTCAGACATATATACACTATAGACATTTTCTTTGCACACAAACACACGGTGTCCCCATGATGCTACGACACCTCATAGTGAATGAGTCGCTACAGCATCATGTGAGGTGTCTCATAACACCATCTGTGAGGGAATTACTACACCACGTAAGGTCCCTCATAACACCATCTGTGAGGGAGTTATTACACCGCATCAGGTCCCTCATAACACCATCTGCGAGGGAATTACTACAAATTGTCAGGCCCCTCACAAAACCATCTGTGAGGGAATTACTACACCACGTGATGCCCCTCATAACACCAGCTGTGAGGGAATTACTACACCACGTCAGGCCCCTCGGAACACCATCTGTGAGGGAATTACTACACCACGTGATGCCCCTCATAACACCAGCTGTGAGGGAATTACTACACCACGCCAAGCCCCTCGGAACACCATCTGTGAGGGAATTACTACACCACGTCAGGCCCTTCATAACACCATCTGTGAGGCAGTTACTACACTACGTGTCTGCTGTTCAACACCTCAGCGCACATGATCTACGTGACCTTCACTGTAAACATTAATCTTTATTTACTTTTATCCTCTTCACCACTGATCGGCTCGTTAGCCGCTTGGGCGATCAGTCACGTCTCTGATTACTTTTCCTTTACTTTTCTCTAATGAAGGCTTTTGTTAAACCACCAATGTATGTAATAAGTCATTTATGTCCAATGTATATTTTCAGTCTTCGGGCTGCAGAACTTTTTCAATAAACTGTTAATTGTTATTATTACACACACACATTACACAAAGGGTAGATAAAGAAAGAACAATTTGAAAATCCAATATTTATTATGTATACTTAACTCTACATTTACATCTCTACTTCTAAGATGTTTATATATAAAATATGAAAATGAAGGGTTTCAGAAAAGTTAGGAAGGAGTGGAGGTGAGAGGGAGGGAGTGGGCGGTGGAGGGGACCAGTATCTCTGTTGGCGCCCGCAGGTCCCACACTCGGCACCTGAACCCATGAACCCCTGGATGGGATAATGGACTCATGTTTGTAAGTAATGAATCCTGACTTTTCTGATACTTTTTGGTAATTTGGTGATGTATATTTTTAGTAACATTTCCAAGGAATAATCTACGACTATCTACCACAACTAAGTGTATTATTGTGATACCAATAATAACTATGTGTCTTAAGTAACGTAAATAACATAAATGTACCAAAAATCAGGTTTTATTACTTATATATGAGGGTCCATTAGCCTAGTCAAGGGTCGAGGTGTTCAGAAGGGTGTGATGTCAGTATCACTGTGCCTCCTCCGCCACCCGACCCGTGCTCCTGGCTCCGTCTTCGGCTTACTATCTCTCTCTACACTCTCAACCTCATCATAATATGGACTGCATGATGACGAACATTTTCTGTGATTAAAGTGGCATATTTTGGTTCAAACAAGTGTTCTATGTTTTGAGCTGGGATACACGTTAAACGGTCCAATGTTGTCAGTGTCACACACGACAGATATGGTCAAGCGGAACGATGACGTCTGATTCACTAACCAATAAGGGGCGAGTCATAGTCAAAACATTGTCTCATTGGTTAGTGAATCAGCTAATCAGACGTTGTAGCTCGGCCAAAGGATACCTGTTGTTAATGTACATGACAGCCGGGGACCAGTTTAGGGCACGCGTTACTGTATCGTGATCAAAGCCGCTGAGCAGTGGCATGTTTACGGTGGTTGGCGTGTGACAACATGGTTTCATTCTACAATTTTATTGAGAAACACTTGGTGTCAAAGTTAGATCTGAGATCATTTCTACCTGTTGTGTTGTGAATAAGAATATATTCAGTGTCTCAAGGATCCCGGTGGAAGAAACTATTAATGGATTCAGGATCCCCGTCGGACAATAAGGAATTTTTTCAGTCGTCCTGGGATCTCAAAACACAGATAATTTCTGTTTTAGTCTGTATAACACTTTTAGTCACTCTGATACACTACCTCAACTTAGGAATTATATTTTTGCGATATTTTACTTAATTTAAACCCTTTTGTCCAACACAAATTAGATACAAGTCAGCGTAGGTAGTAAGACACGACATGTTTTGGCAAATACGAACCTATTCCATTGTTATTCTTTCCCTGTTGAATTAACTTCAGAATATTCCATCATTTAGAGACTGGAGTAGATATCAAGTTTGGGAAACCATTAAAAGAAGCACAAGAATGAGTGTGTGTGTAAAGAGGGAAGAATTAGGCCTACGAAACACAAACCAGAGGTGTACAGTATGTGGAACAGGTGATAACAACAAGGTAAACTACAAAACTATAAATAAATCACAGACTCAGACTTTACATCAGAGTAAGAAAACGTAAAGCAACAACGACAGTAAACGAGAACAGTTGATCCTACAGGGCGAGACTTGAGAGACGCCGATACCATCTACTTACAAAGGAAATAACTACATCATCACATTAATGTCAGGCAACATTATTGGCTAACTCATCACTAAACCAGATTACTTCCGGTACATCAATATAAGGCTTTAGTTTGGTCGAATCAGAACGTTATGTTAACAGCCTAGTGAAGACTTCTCCTGTGTCCGATGTACAGCAAGTGTCCATTACTTGTGTGCACTTCAGGCACCACTCACACGACACACACATGTACAGACA